CGGGTGGCAGGACCATCCAACACCCTGGGATAAAGTATTGCAACGGCCTTTCACTGAGATCCTTTTCCATGAGTGCTGTGACCACCACCGCGCTTGCCTTCCACCGCAGACTAAGTTGAACAAAGTTGAGCGTTCCACTCAGAACAGACAGCTCCGCTGGTGGACTGAGAACCATCCGTTGCCCATCTCCTGTGCTCCCCTGCAGAGCGCCCTGCGATGGGCAACTCCAAGCCACTCCGACCTGGCACCGGCATAGCGCACGAAGGCAAGGACGCACCCGAAAAGGGAGTTGGGACGATCGACATGCGTTTCTGGTGCCGTTGGATCAACATAGATCAATCAACCTAGAAGTATATAGAAATATGGCGCAGTGCAACTGCTGCAACCCATCAAGAATAGAGTTTGTTTACAGGTTCACCTTTCGAAGAAAAAGAACTGGAATGTCTGAGATGTTCGTGGGAAAGCAAGAACCGCTGACAATGTCAAGCAACCCACCAATTCACCACACCTCAGCTGATTCAGCCCAACCGGAGCGAGCCAACTGATCAACCCATCCAACCAGCTACCTGGCTCCAAGCTGCTGCGGCTGCGTATCGGCAGCGCTAGGCCGGATGCAGGACGATCTGTGGCGTTCGCTTCGGGTTGGCGATCGTCGTGCAGAGCGACCGATCATTTGAAGCATCCGCGAGGATCGAATACTTTCACATGTGAGAAAACATCATTACTCAGGTACTAGTTTTGTGTCTCTCCAGGTGTTTCCCTGTGGAGAAGGTGCCTGAAAAAATCCGAGCAGACCATGGTAACAACATACGAACGATGGTGTTTACCGCACAGATCCGCACAGAACAGTGCGCAAAGACATAGGCAACGTTTAACGAAAATGTGGTTGAATGTTTTCTTTATGTTTCTTTGACGTACGGTCTTGGTATGATTTGGAAACCTTCTCAGGTTCAAAAGCCAAGGGCCTGCATCGCAGGCACTTTCGCTGACACTTCTTCCTTTGATCGGCAGAGTTAAGCTGCTGCCTCTGCGGTCAATGGAACAGTGCATTGTAGAAACACAAACTCTGATGGAGTCACTATGTTCACAACAGGATGCTACTAGGGGCTCCTGGCCTACTGCTAGGAGCAAGGACGGCTCCTGGCCTTCCACATGAGTGTTTTGCTTCATTTTCTCATGGGACTCAGGACTCAGGACGGGGAGTTTGGCTCTTTGGACGAGAAGCACGCCATCCGAGGCCATCCATACTAATCATGTTTTGCCTAAAAAGACACGCAAAAACATCGAAAGGTTGGATGTCTGGAGACCATCGCCGTCGCCACATCGGAGAGCTGTCCACAGCCTGTGTCGCTTCTGCTTCGGATCGGCAGGCTTGTTCCTTCGTAGCGGCAGGAATGCACAAGGTCCCATGGATCAAACCACCAGGCCATTCAAACCATTCAAACCAACGGTTCCAACCTGTTCCAACCGGTCACAACCGTCCGGCCATGGTGGCTTTCAACACTTCGGACAACGGTTTGAGAAGATTGACACCCCAAAGCCACATCCCGAAGTTCACCGGCCGGCCACCTCCCATGCTGGACTCACAGATGCTGACACTGCGAGGCTTGATTGGCAAAGCGCCTGATGCTGTGCTGAGGGTGGAGGATCCCAGCGTGGAGTGAAGAACTCAGTTCGGGCCCAACAAGGGGTGCAAAATGGTGCAAAGCAACGGAAGCACCACAAGTGACCCTCATTCCCTACTATGATCTGTTTGATATGCCAATCCAGCATAATGTCAGGGAAAAGGGATGAAAAAGGTCCGGGTGTTGTTCAAAACACACGAACCGACAGCAGCATGGATTGTGATGAATGTCTCTCTGAACTCGCTAAACCAAGAAGATAGCAGGGGTTTTGTCTCTCGCGATCGCATTGGGCGTGAGGAGAGCATAACTCAAACCTTACGGTCGCGACCGTATGGAAGTACCAAGCTCCAGGCAGCTGCTTGGCATTGCGCTGCGGACCTCGCTTCGTTGCTTCAGCTTCTGGAGCCCCAAAGAGGGTGATTGATGCGCAGCTGAAATGGATAGGGGCATCATGAAGGAGCCTTATATACTAGGAACAAGAAGCTACTAGTAGCTCCTGGCATTACTTCTAGGAACAACAAGCTACTAGTAGCAAGGTGCATCGCTACTAGGAGCAAGAAGCACGTTGGGGCATCATGAAGGAGCCTTGTTCAATCTTTCCCCATCTCACCAGCGTCCAGTGTCCAGCCAAGCAGCGGCTGCAGCTGGACTAGGGGAGAAGACACTGCCACCTGCGGTCTGAAAAGGCTCAGAAGGTCAGCAATGCACGGCAAAATCAAATGGTCTTAGACTATGTCCGCACGTAGGTGACGCAGTCTCCTTTTTTTTTGAAACGCATTGCTCATGAGGAAGGGGCTCAGAGTGACAACGCCCAAAGGGGCACATGTTCACATCGAGCACAGATCCCTCGGTTTCCAAGGATTTATATACAGTAATCATGTTGGAAACATTTTGAGTGTCTGCCAACACCGCTAGGTCGCCTGCCGGGTTGATGAAGGTCACCAAAATGTTTGCACGATCGTTAAGCAAACACACATAGAATCTAATTGCAAGTGACTGGAAAAATCACACCCGTTATTGCGCAATTGTCCTTTCAAATGTTTGGGTTGCAAAAGCATGGAACAGTCATCGCCTCTGTAGGGTTGTCGTTGCTGGCTTTGGCCACCACTCAAATTCTTGTGTCAAGGAACACCCGGGAACTTCTCTCATGGCCATCACGTTGGGTGGTTCCAGTTCCAGGTGCCTCCAAGCTTTGAAGGGTAGTTATAACATCATACAGAATCAACCCAAATGCAGCAAAGATGATGGTCATAATCATATTATATGGCTAGTTATAAGATGTGACCCAATTCACAACACCATGCCGCTAATGGGCCCATCATCTCTCCCACCCCACTCCCATTCGGCATCCCAGCAAGCGCTGGGTGTGGCTGAGGTCATGTCAGCCGTGCCAGCACTCGGCCTCCTTGACCTCAGGACCGGGCAAAGAGTGGCTATCAGACACTGGTCATAGAAATGGACAAGGAAAAAACACTTCAAGAGATCCACCATAAATGGTTTCCTATGCTGTGGTTTCTTCACTCTAAACGGTTCCAACACCTTTGATGTTCTCCTGTCAAGGGTTCCGATGCTGTGGTCTCCCCCAGATACATCAACACCTGTGCACTCCCTTGTTTGACAGCAGGTCCCTCGAGAGCGGATGATGGGAGTCCCATGGGAGGTGCGTTGTTCGTCCCAAAGACACTGGACTGGAATGTGCGCGACTGTTGAATGTCCAAAACGTTGCTCAAGGTTCTTGGAGGCGTGACTTTACTGAACATTTATATAGATTATCAGGTTACTCGCCCATGTACAAACCAGACTGCACGAAAAGCAGTCTATTGTCAGTTCTGGTATCACCGTCACCAAGTGTCTGCTATCACTTCTGGTTCTTGGGAGAACATTAAAAAGTGTAAACCGAACCTCGGTTATAGCGTATCAAGGCACACTGAAGATCATCGGACGGACAAAACGCCATGACCCGTCCAACCCTGACCAAGTGGCAAAGACGCAGAAGTGCTTCCAGAGGAGCTACTTTTTGAACCAGTTCGCGAAGCGCCTTGCATGTCGAACCCAGACGGAACTTCGGCCAAGGCTGGCGACCCGGTTCGTTCTCGGCGCCTGGGAAGCTGCCCAAAACGCCCGAGGTCAGCGAAAGGACCTCAGAACGCGTTCGCCCCACGGAGTTGGGGTGCTTGAGGTGATTGAGGTGACCCCAACTCGGAAAATCGATGAAGACAAACCAGCACAGACCCGACCCGAAACAGGGTCATCAGCACTTGTCGTGCATGGCAAATATTGGAGGTCGTAGCATGACAAGCTGTGAGAGGAGGACACCAAGAGGAAGACTGAGGACAACCGGGGGACAACGCCCGCACAGCTTCCTTTTTCTAAGAGAACCCCCGACAATAAACTGTACCTTTTTCCCTCTCGCAGCCAATTACATTGGCCCGGCATGGTGTTACTGTTTGGAGAACATTGTTGTATATATATATATATATACTCCCTGCCCTTCTCCCTTCCCAAATGCATTGCACATCGTTTCTATCTGTTTGAGGACCACCAAAGAGCGACCAGTCGGCCCAGACGGCCGCCGCGCGTGCGCGCCGACTCGTTGGCGCGGGCAGAAACTCTGGCCAGGAGGCAGCTGCCGACTGTGCCACACCACTGACATGTTCACCTGAAAAGGGGCTATCCTAAACATGTCACAGAATATAGAGGATCCTTCCAAACAGGATGCTGTTTGGGCATAAGAGGTCTTGTGTTGCTTCAATCTGTCACTCTTTGCAGCCACGGGGCGAATAGGCTCACAAGGCATGGCCGAGCAAATTTCACATCTTCTGCCAGGAGTGTGTGCTGTCCGCCGTGAGATGTCCGTTTCGCTTGGTTTTCTGCAGATGTCCGTTCGACTCGCTTCGTGACTTGGATGCTGGATGGGTCGATGTTGGATACTGGTGGATAGTGGTGGAGAGCCTCAACAGCTCCAAAGCACTGAAATGATGAACTGCAGTGAGAATAGGGAAGGATCACCCTCCAACAACTAGCGCTCTCGGCTTGGGCTGATGTCCCATGTTCACACAGAAATACACAGAATCATTCAGGAGTGCGAAAACCGCCCTCCAACTATTTTCCTTTGCCAAAGAGCAGCGAGGGACGGGCCAGGTGCAGCTGACTGCTCTGGTTTTGCTAAGGCCCGCGATTCTCAGCCTCTCATTCACTCCAGCAAACCTCTTCAGATTGCATGACATATCCTCTCCCACGATCTCCAATGTTGTGGATTCAATCACTTCATGCTTCCCCAAGTCTACAGTAGAGTCTACAATTCAACACAAAGTATTTCCAGAAAACCATGTCACCACTCGCTTCCACGTTCGCTTCCCGTCCCGCCGTCCCGTCCCTGTCTTCGGTCAGCTTTTTGGCTTTCTCCCGATCCAAAACACGGATGAACGGACATTCCGTTCGCAGGGACCTGGGAGGGAAACGGACGAAATACCGTTGAACGACAAGACATGGAATGCAAACGATGAGAAGGAAGAGAGGTGTGACAGAGCAGCTGTTTTGATACATGTCATTGATTATCCCATGACACCATGGGAAAGCACTGGCTTAGAGATCTAACAATTCTGACAGCAGGTGTTCTGGCTTTGTTCTGGCAGCTGGTTTTTTCGGTCGCCGTGCGAAGTATCGGTGGCCGTCAAGATACTTGAAGCCAACATCTTTGCCAAAGCCGATACTTCGCACTCAAGCGTGGACCTGGCCCGAGACTGAGGGGCAGTCACAGTCTCTTTCTGATCCATACAAATAAGCAAATGTATGATGGCGTATGTATGTGTACATATATATATATATACATATTATATGTATATGTATGGCTGTTAAGCTACCACATGGACGGAAACAAATTCATTACTGTATATCCTTCTTGCAATTTTGGTACAAGAGAACAGCAAGAGACTTAGTTTCTCAGTGGCCGAAACCAAAAGCATCTGCCAAAGGGCTGTAATTCCTCTGGCGCAGCCAGCAAAGCCATGCCTCAGTGAGGGTTATAGCACCCTGCGAGCTCGAATGATACTCCCGAGCGTGAACCAAAATGGAGGCCCCTAGAAATGGACTGGACGCGCCCGTACAGCACTTGGGGTGTTTCATTTCAAGCGCCCATGCGCTACGCGTGGAAGTTGCAGCGTCTTTTGTTGTATGAAGATTGTATCATGCAGGATGCAGGTAACTGGTATGCCTTCAGACCGGATCAACCAGTTTGGGTCAGAACTCTTTTTCAGACTTCCTCGGACCTTTCAAACTTCCTCAGACTTCTGCAGAAGTCCTGCCGTTCACATGTCTCAGGTTCCAAGCCAGCGTGGGACTGCTGCTCCTCATATGGTCGCTGAACCTGAGTTGTGTTCCCACAGTTGGCAAAGAGCAAAACATTGAAAACAACCCTCCAAGCGTTTTCACTTTGATCTTGCACGTTCTTTCAAAGGGCTTCAAAGAACATCATTGTACCGGTAGAGTCAAAGAAAATGTCGCACCTGAATCTCTGCCACCAGCACATCTTCGCCTGTGCACACGCATCTGAAACAAAAAGTGGTGTCCAGGCAGTCTGAGCGTCAAGACAAGTCATCTGGAAGTGCATTGCCAATCAGGACTGCACGGGTGCTGTGTTTGACCACAAACCGATCTCGAATTGAAGATGTTGAAACAAATTGGTTAAGTCCCACTGGCCAACCACTATAAAAAGACTTCTAGGCGGTTTTACAGTAATAGTATGTATCATAACTGTTGCTGCCGCACTAAGCTTGAATGTGTACAACATGCTCTAAAAACACACCCTATAAGCAGCAAGGTGGTGTCATTGATGCCCTTTCAAACAAGGGGTGCTTGGATTACAAACTGCTGATGTCATTTACCACATGACCACCGACACCCATCTCACCTAGCCCGGCCAGGCGTTGGTGGAAATTCTGAGTCTGCACGTCGTCGATGATGGGATACCACAGGGCCACTGAAGCACTAGGCCTCAGAACCACAAGGGCAGAACCAAGCGTGGGCTGAAACTGCGCATGATGATGCGATGCGTCTGTCTCACAAGCTATGTTGCGTCTCAAATGTGTTTTTCATATGTGTATTTTACCATCATAAAGTCTGCTGGACTGGCTGATATCAGCTAGCATTGATCTTGATCTTTTGCTCATCCAAACTTTAAGCCACTGATTTATCTAAGAAATGGTCCACGAGTTGGCATCAAAGTCTTTTTAACGTTGAATCGAGGCTTGGATGCTGGCCACCGATGCCGCAAATGCTTCATGATGAAGAGATTCCAAACATGGTAGGAATGCACCTGTGGTCTTTGTGCAAGTTCATCTTGCAGCATGCTTGACAATGCTTGATGACTTCAAACCATTAAATGTACTATTCACCGAATCTAACATCAAAAAAAAAAGCTATTAGAAACAAGTGCCACGCTAGTAGTAACAGGTGCCTTACTAGTAGTAACAAAAACCTAGTAGTAACAAGTGTCATTTCGCTATTGGTCATCAGTTAAAGCTCAAGACTTCGCACCTCTCATCACCACATCTCTCACAGCCAGGTCTAAAGCCGGCAAGTTGCTGAGTCGTAAGGTGGGTCCAGCAGTACCAACCTCACCACCCAGTCGTGCGGAACAGCTGGAGAACCCCCCGAAGTCGCCCGGAGTCCCAAGAACTCACCACTTCGTGACGTGGGGTCGTCGCGATGTCATCGGAGCAAGTCACATTTTGCCCTCCAGGATGTCTGCATTCAAGAGCCAACGGTAGGAATCTGTCTGCAACCTCAGCTTGGAAAGGAACGTGAGAAAGGCAATGTTGCTCAACAGATCCAGAGAACCAACACCGTGTTGCTCGAAAAAAAGAACGTACTTCTTCGACCTTCGACGTGCATGACAGGTGAGTGTGAAGGAGGAGGACGCTACTTGGGTTGTAGCTCTAACAGCACTTCGATTCCTCGACCGTCTCGTCCTTGTGGAGTGGCAAGGTCAAATTGGCATCATTGTCATCACCTAGCAAGTGTTTCTTGCCGAAGGAAATGCAAGCACTTTTTGAGATTCCAATCCAAAACCCGAAGCAGCTGCCTTCTTCCAGATTGAGCTTCAAGTGCCGCATCATGGACTCTGAAGCCTCAACATAGATGGCCTGGCACTTGAGACAGGCAACGAACAATCCCAAGAACCCCACCAGTGCACCACCCCACGTGAATACACGATGGCGGTCTGTTTAATCCACCTGAGCCAATTAAGCCAAGAGTCTTGATCCTGCGGCCGGAGCCACTGCTTCAGAAGCCCGGAAGAACCCAAGTAGAAACGAAGCTGGCCTGGAAGTCTTCAACTCGACATGGCCATGATTGAAGGCCGGCAAAAGCTTCAGAAAATCCACTTCAACATATAACATACCCATTCAACAATCCTAAGAAGAAGGCTGGCCCACCTCGTCGGCGTTTGAGCTTTTGAGGACGACCGACCGCAGATTGCAGAAAAGCTCATGTCATGGGAGTCTCTGACCGATCAACCGACTATTAAAAAAATCGACTATCCAACGATTAAGGATGGTAATTGAATGGAGTCAAATACAGTGTGACCGTCTCCAGCCGATTGACTACCAAGGTCTGAAGGAAAAGTATCCAGTAGTGACAAGTCATGTGAAAGTGCTCGCAATACATTGACACGTGTCGTCAACGCAGAGGTATGTGCCTGTGGGATGTTTGTAGAGGTACAGTACATTCGCGCGTTCTTGGCAATACATCTCCTGCCTTCAGTGGCTTTTTCTTCGTTGAAACGACGTAAGGTCTGCAAAAATTGCTGGACCTGAGTACGGCGAAGCTTGGAACAAGCGACCAATCTTTACTTTCTGCCGCATTTGATCTGCTTCGCGAAGCTGAGTACAGGGCAATTCCACTGCTTTTCTCATTCATGTCCATCTCAAAGAGATGTTGAACCCCATCTTGATAGTTCCTCCAAGCGACTAGATAAGCACGAAACTCAACGACAAGCTCTTTTGGACTCGCTACCTGTGAAAAGTGGCGGCGCCCTGCTGAAGGTCATAGACACCGGCACCCGCATGGGCATCCAAGAAGGTGAGGGACTCATTAGCTGTGGTCAGAGATTGCCAGAAGGACAGAAGCACCTGGAGTCTCAATTCAGCAACTCTTCAGATGCTGAACAACACTCCGTTCAGTCGCTGTATGTCCTATGCAAAGTTATTTGAGGGTCGTCGGAACAAAGCCAAGGTGAAACAGACTAAGAACTCCGTCAAAACAAGAGCCAGCAAAGTGAAAAGTCTATGTATGATGCATATAACTGCGTATAAATATATTACATACGGAAAAATGTGTGGTGGGCCAACGGACTGTAGCCTTGGTAAGGATCGAGCCTGAAGGAGACAAACTATCACACGGTCAAGAATGTAACAGCTCAGTAGTATTCCGCGGAAAATGAGCCAAATATATTCTCCTCAATTTCAAGCCAAGAGTTGTGAGAGGGTGCAAGGTGGCATGAATCTCTTCATATATATATATAATCAAAGAAGCACGAAGAAATCAGCCAGAAGCACCACATGCTTGAAGCAGTCAATGGGATCACCTGCTTGGAAATCATGCAAATAGTCTCGTCGATTCCTGGGCCAAAACGATACCTCTTGAAAGAAGCGCATATGTATGTGTTGTCTTGAAGATGCAAATAATGGAGTGTTTTCACCAAACCATCTCCAGACATGTATGAGGTGGCGCTTGTTGAACACATCTGTGACTCAGCTAAGATACAAGTTGTCAGCTCCCAGGCCATCCTGAATACCTAAGACGTCAGCAAAGGCAAAGGTCAGTCAAGAAGGGACACCGTGAAGAGTGAAGAAAGGGGTTACAGCTGCACCCAGTGGGAATTGCTTTCGACCAGCCCTTCCGCTTCTAGAGCCGCTAAGTGTGATTGAAAACCGCTGGCAAAAACGTGCGAGAGATCGTCGTAATCAGCTAATCCATTGTGTCCAAACATTGTCTTCGTTTGAGAGTTCTCTTATTGCATTTACTTTTGTTGAGGTCCATCCACTATCAACTACAGCAGACTTAAATCTGATTGACCGTCATATGGTAACAGAGTTTGATACCCGAGACCAACAGAATCATGCCGGAGGAACAATCTATGGCGACGCGCACGTAACTGAAGGGAGAACGGAACATCTGGAGCACCTGGAATTCAATAGTTTTGGTATTTTTGGATCTGAATGTACGGGTACATGGTTCCAACCGCTTTGGGTGAAAGAATCCTCTTGGACAGGGACGTGAAGTCTCATCCTACAAATCCCAAAGGCAAGCAGTGCTTCTTTGACAAAGTGATTGGATGTGCAGGGCACTGAGTTTTGTTTGAATGTGCCAGATATTCGGGACGCTTCGCGTATAATATCCTTTAATCACTCTATCGTGGACCCTCTGACAAATTGTTAATTTAGCCCTGTCGTGTTGTTTGCAATTTGCAAGCATTGTTGGATCTATTTTCACGTCCATGTTCAAGTTCAAGAGGGTTGAAAAATAGAACGTACAATAGAGCGATTATGTAAAAATAGAGCGATAATATGCGACAATGTGCTTGATCGAGACAACACTTGGAGATGAACGCAGCATTAAGTGGATGAAAAAAATGTGTCCTCTGTTGCGGGCATGGTTCACCGCATGCACCCAAACTTTCCTTTGGCAAAGGTAAAGCAATTCTGGTTTCCTTGTCTATCCGTTTGGAATGCACGACCTGCTTTCCTCTGGTGCCCTTCATCATGTGTGCTCGACGACCTCTGTCGCTTCCTAGCTGTCTTTGACAAAGCCTCCCCTTGTGGTCGATGCACGCCGCATCCCGCCATGCCAGGGCTCCCGATGCTCCTCCACGTGGGAATGTCCAATTCCGTCTAAAAAAGGATCATCGGCAAACCTCCATCCGTCCGAGCTCACGTAGCTCAGCTCACTGCATCACCAACTGCTCTATCCTCTTGCATCACCAACTGCCAGGCCTTCGGAAACTCCGAAGATGTAGATCTGCTACGTATGCGATCGTCATATTCCGCAAGGGCTGCCACAGTCATGACTGCGACTGCTACTGCTACTGCTACTACTGCTGCTGCGGCGGCTGCTGCTGCAGTGTTACGTGTTCAACGGATGTTTCAACCTCAGCAGCACAGTCCGGTAGATCTGCCAGCAGTGAAACATTGGTGGCCCTGGGATCTCAACCGACTTCAGGCGATGCGCCTGGAGCTTCAAAAACAAAGGTGAAACTGTCAACAGCAGGCAGTTGATCAGCTGGACGAAACAGAGGTTGAGTTGCTGGCGACCACAGACATTGACGATGCTTACCGCAATTTTCGGGAAGCTGTTGGTGCAGAGCTGCCAGAGTCGGACCCAACGGTTGAGCAGAAACAAACCAAGGCAACGCAAGTTCTTAGTGTTGCAGCGAGATGGATCTTGGTGGTGCTTGCGGCCGCCGCATTGGGGTCCACGACCACATTGGGGTCTACGCCTGTCCGGCAGTCGATGCACATCTAGCAATCCGGAAGACCTCGCGATACACCACTGTTGCAGTTGCTGGTGGCTCCGCGTACGGCGTACGGTGGCGAACAGCGCAACAGTGGAAGGGATGCAAAGAGTCGAAGGTGCATGTGTTGCCTCCCAAAGTCAAGTCACTCTGGTCCCACACATTGCGCTGCAGTCCCACGAAGCCCAAGACACGATCAGTCGTGTCCAGCCCTTTTACCTCTAGTCTCTCGCCATGACTGAGACCTGGGAAATGGCACTGGCTTGGGACGCGGCACACAGCAGCACCAACACACGCAAGCACCAACACTTCGCTGGGCAAAGCCGCGACGAGCAGCTCCACCTGCATTCAAAAGAAGGTGGAAGCAACCTTAACCAAAATGACACGATGACTCAAGATCCCTTCCACCTTAGGGTTGCTAGGAGCTGGCGAAGTTTCACACGTTTGCAAGACAAAAAAAGGGTCAGGTGTGTCATGGTGTGGGGTGTCGAAGGGTCGGTTTGTCGTTCACAAACCTTCCAGATTGATCAGCAATTTGACATGTTGCAAGACTCTCAGGAGTCATGCGCAAGAGTCAGGCAGGATGCACCAAAGAAATGGCGATGACAAAATCCTGGCATGTGTTATCCGGACTTCACTTTGATATGTCCCCAGCTCTGTCCCCAACTCGCTCAGCGTCCCCCAAAACGAGCACTGATACCAGGCGACCAACAAAAACGTCCGCCAGCAACGGAAAGGGAAGATCGTCTTCTGAACCCTCCAATTTTCAGAAACCACCTAAGATCCTGTTGCTTTACAAAGCGCCACCAAGCCGCCTTCTTGAAGCATCTTGGACAGGAGCTCTTGAGCCATAGACCACTGGCCACAGCTTTCGCAAGCATGGATGGCCTTAAATGGTTAAATGGGCACAGTACATGTCTCGCATTCTCGAAGACTCAAACAAGAACACTTTAGTTGTATCATGTTGTTTCTTCTGTTGCCACACTTTGAAAGCAGAATGGTCGCAGCAGCTGCAGACCCAGGTCGCTTCCATGGACCCAGGTCGTCCAAACCCTTGCTCATCCTTGCTCACCCTGACAAAACCTTCCAGTATCCACCGAGATCCGAGGCTTCCATGAGAGCATGGGCTGTCTTCCATGGCTTCCATGGGCTGTCTTGGACCCTCTGTGGCCCTTCCTCCTCTCCCAGGCACTGTGTAGAAAGAGATCCGGTCTTGCTCCAGCTCCATCCTGATCAAACAGCTTGCTTTGTAGACAACACAAGGGAACCGACGTCAACGGACATCAGTGGTGCGAGGGAACGGTGAAACGGACGAGGAACTACTCAACAAAGACGTCCGTTCCCTCAACGTACCATTTGGAGAAGTCAAGTGAAGTGCAACGGATCCGTTTGAAAAGACCTGGAACATTCCAAGACTCGATCCAACACGTGGTGTTAGAGAGAAACCCTTTTTATTTTCCTGTGGCTACATGCCAAGGTGCTCGTTCATCCTCTGGAGCAAATTCACCGCCAACTGCCACTGAAGGCCTTTATCGCAAGATCCAATGGCCTGGGAACTCGCCCAGGTCATCTCGTGAACATTCTCGAACGGGAAACCAAAGTCTCACAGTCCGATTCATGCCCAGGCACAGCATTGTAAGTGATTGCATCACTGTTTAAGGTGGACTCCTGCAGAATGTGCAATTCCGCAAACAAAACCGAACCGTCCAGATACGACAGCTTTAAAGAACCGAGCCTTACAGGGGAGCGGAAGCAAATCCTCACTACCCTCACTGGATGTTTGGGAATCCAAATCCTCACATTTGACAAATCTTGGTGGTCGCCAAGTCTCCTCAATCAAAAACAGAATCCTGCAAGCATACACAATCGCGACACGACACCACATCGCGACCTCCATGCTTTCAAGTAGGGCCAGAGCCACATTCCACTGGGCGGCCTGAAGGATCAAATGATCTCTGATGGGATGACAAGCCAAGAATGCGGATCAACTCAATCTGGCCACTAACAAATAAGACTATGATAGAATAATTGCAGCAATGTGTGTGGGCATTCATCTACGTGCCATTTCCCTCTCGATGTAGTTGGCTGCAACATGTTCTAACTACTAACCTGCAAATACATGGTTGATTCCGGGAATGGCAAGACTTTTTGCCTGAAAAGGGCTTTTTTCGCAAGCAAGAACAGAGCGAGAATCCACGGACGTGGCTCTCCACGGCCCATTCGAAACCGCGCTGCTTCTTCTCGCGCACGGCGCTCCTTCTCACAGGCGCTGATGGCTGCATTGCAGGCTGAGAGACTCAGATCAATGGACTTGCGCTCGGCCAAGTGCCTCAGTTCGGCTGCTGCATCGTCGCGTTTATCGATTCAAGTGCCTCACATCTTCTTGATCGCCTCGCAACCCCACTGCCTGGGATCTTTTGCAATGTATTCTGCTTCAATCCTTTCTCAGGCGCTTCGCCTCTGCTTCATATGTTGAACGTGCCGCGATCGCCTGTCTATAAGATTCTACAACAAGCCCTTTTTGAGACTTCAAGGCTCTTACCCAGCGTGTGCGACACTACTGTTACCTCTTCTGCCAAAGCTCAGCAAAGACAGCGCCATCTCCCATTGCCTTGGGTACTTTGGCAATCGAAGGAGCCATTGAAAACAAAACGGCAGCCATCATGTCGGATTAGCTAGAGGAAGGAGAGCCTCGATGAATTTGTATAATTGGAAGTATGCCGGGAAACAAGCAAAACTGCAAAGGAAGGAAGGGCAAGTGTCGGCCCTCTTCCATTTGAGTGGCTAAAATGATGTACGAACACCGTATTTGCGACCACAGCCCGGCTCAAGGAAACCTGTCCAAAAACCAGGGGTTTAAGAAAACATGAAGTCTGGCCCACCCCATCCCGCTTTGCATCAAAAGGCAGGTGTTGTTTGCTCCGTTTCCATGTCTTAGGGGGGACCACTACAGTAATTCAATGAGCATGTCTTTTCACGTCCGTCACTAAACCAAGCTGCCCCAACTTCTGGCAGGCCATCACTGCGGAGCCCACCGAGACCACGTCGGGCTGCGAGATCTGCATCAACAAGTGGAGACTCTCAGTCCTGCCAGGATACACTTTAAATAGCTTCTTATTGTTCCTAGTAGCTTCTTGTTACTACTAGTAAGGCACTTGTTACTAGAAGCGATGCACTTGTTCCTAGTAGCGTTCTTGCTCCTAGGTCGTTGCCTGGAAGGTCTCCCTCTTTTGCACCCCACATGCGATGTTCTCCCTGTCCAACACACATCACATCGTCACAGCGACGAACATCGCGGCTAGCCGGATCTGGAAGATGGCTTCTTTGCTACGAAGAGAGGACGATCCCCATCCGAGGCCAATATTCTACAAGGCATGTTCCACGTTGGTCCACTCCTTATGAACTTGTGGTGTCCAATTGTAGACATCTTTCTCTGACAATGTTCTCTTGTTTGGGAATGGCATGGATGACAGCGCCCAGCGGTTGAACCATCGACCGGTCCAGCGCCCAGCGGCACTGCAGGCAGCGATGGCCGCGTTGTAGTTGATCAGACCCGCTTGGATGGCATCCTCCTGCATCGATTGCCTGTGAAAAAGGCGCCCCAACAGGCGCGTGCTTTGCTTGGTCTGGGAGAAACCAAGATGAACCGAAAAAAGAATCTGCCCGAAAACAAGACAGAGAGAAAAGAAAAGGAAGAAGAAAACCTTGATGACGACAGACAAATGTATGCTGACTTCAAAACCTTCGTCCCCCTTAAGGCATAAGCTCAGGCCCTCTCAGGGGCAGTATCTGAGCTCCCTGACAGAAGCTGACAAGCATAGTCCCATGGAACCAACCCTGAGGCGTAGACCTTGGCTTTGACAGCCGGCCTGAAATTCACCAGGCCCTCTTCAGCACGTGTATTGAGTCATGTACATACACAGCCGATTTGACCCACTCCAGTGTTCGTCATCCGGGCTGTCCTTTTGTTCAGTCTCTAAGGATTGCCCCAAGCTGCGGCTCCGTAGGACACGGCATCTGCTTCTAGCTGCACCTCGCCAACGAAAGCTACTCACATGATCACATGATCACATCAACCCCTAACCCAACCACTGCACATCATAAACTCTGGCAACATTGGGTTCACTGTCACCTTGACTCTCCAGGAAGATCTCGACACATTGGGTTCTGATACAAATGAGCTATGTCCAAAACCTGGCATCAGAAAACCCTGTATACTGCTAAGCCATGTAACGGGGCCTTTGGTTTGCTCCAGTGCTAGTAGAGGAGCTACGGATTAGCGGGGGCATTGATTGACGCATGAGGTTTTACACACGACCCCCGGCCTCCTTCATTTCTGCCAAGAGTGCACAGCTAATCTGCCACTCTGGACACGCACTGATTGCCGCGTTGTAGGAAATCGCATCCACACTAACCTGAGAAACAAAACTTGCAAGGTCAATCGATTTCATCGTTCATCTCTGGAACGAGAGCTCGAACAACCATTCTCGCTGCTGAAGATGCCAAGGAAAACATCAACAACTGTGTTTTCCGGTGTCCGGTCCTGCAGTTGCCTGCACTAGTAGCTTGGTCTTCACCTACTATGTTCTTGTTGCTCTCTTCCCCCCTTCTCCTCCCTGCCTCAGCATCAGGCATGGAACGCAAGAGTCGCAAGGCAGAAGCCCATCGATGACCTCCACCCACAGGGGGTCCAACCAGGTCCCACGGTGGGTCGATTGGCAACAGGAAGACCTGGGGCTTCGTCACAAACAAAAACACCCCTGTTGGTGAGACTAGACCACCTGGGAAGTGAGGCTACATAGTGGACCAGGATGGACCAGGGTTCCAGGTCAAAAGACCCCAAAATGATGGCATCACCGATGAATTCAAGGACCAGGAGGGAGACCGGTGGCCGGAGAAAAACAGAACACCAGCCACCAAAAGCACGACATGTCCTGTGATCAGGCGCTGTTTGGCGAGTCTGTCCCTATCGTGAGTCTGTCACCCACATCCATATCGTGGTCAGGTCTCCAGACTTCAGTGTGATTTCAGGTTAATGAGTCATGGTTGTAGGGATGCTGAATGTTTCTCCTGTCCGTGACTCTTCGCCTGCCAAAGGAAGTGCATCCAGCCTCGAGCACATGCAGAGATGGCCACATTGAAGCACACAGCATCTTTGAGCCTGTCAGGGTTTCAATGGCGTCCTTCAGACCATTTCTGTCTACCCCAGGTATAGTTATAGATAGAGAGAAGTGGGTCGCAGGCATCTGCGGATTGTCTGGTGCAGAGGGTTTTGACTTGTTGTCTTAGATTGGGGGCATCAGTGTCCTCCACTTTGCTGTCATCCCGTCGTCAAAATGGTCTATATAAAGCATCAGGGACACAAGGCCGGCTGAGCTTTGCTGCGGTCAAGGTCTTTGGTTCAATGATAGTGGGTTGGTTTCAGGTCCAAAATGTGTTGGGAATAGAACATAAGTCTCTATTTTGGGATCAAGAGGAAGGGCCTCGCATTTCTTTTGCGCAACCTTCTCACCTGACCTGAGCTTGGGCAGGTACTAAAGGGTGGCTCCAATGTCTGGCCTGGTCTCGTGGAAGACTTCTAGAGCCCTCTGCCATTGCGCCGCTTTGGTGCAAGCACTGGCAACGCTGCTCATTGAGACAGGAGTGGCCTCGCGGTTCATGTTTCTGGGGGCTCGGCAGCATAGCTTTCCACCAAGCGGTCAGAAAGGGAATCCAAAAAAGGCTGGGAGGCTCATGTGTTGTCTGTTCAGATGCCAAGCACAATTTCTCAAGCGAAAACCAATGAAAACCGTGAATTTACTGGTAGAGCATCCTGGTTATGCATGCAACTAGGCCTCCAGTTCATCTGCATTCATTCGATCAAGCTCGTAGATGGCTTGCTGCCAGTGGCTGAGGCGTTCGAAGGAGCTAAGCAAGAGATTGTGGTGGACCACATTGGATTGCAGCCCGAGCTCCTAATGGACATTCTTGGAAATCGGCACTCTTGTCTCGTAGCATGGCATGGATCTGCTTTCAGGCCATGGAAGGATCGACTTTCATAGACATGCAATGCAAAGACCTGCAAAGAGCAATTGTTTCCAACTCCTGTCCCATTGCTTCTAGGTTGGAGGCCATTGCTATTTGGTCAATGTGTTCCTCCTCCTTTCCCATCGCTCCTAGGTTGGAGGCCATCGCTTTTATCTTGGAGGCCATCGCTATTCGGCTGGAGGCCATCGAAAGAGCAATCCTCCTTTCCGAATGCTTTCCGGCCGGGGGGCTTTCAGCCTGTCCAAGGTCTGGCGCAGAAGCTCGCTTCGCTTGGCTCTCGCCAAAGGCCCTAAAAGCTTTGTGATTTCCCGCGGTGTCCAGGGGCGCGAGCCTTGTTTGGACAAACGCCATGGCTGAATAGAGTCAGTTGGGGTCCTACAATAGAGACACTGCAAACTCAAAACGACCATATTTACAGTACTTCCAAGATAACACCATGGACGCTCATCTGAGCATTTTCTGTGGTTTTGCCCACAAACACCCAAAGGGAAAAATGCCACCGACGTCTTCCTCACCAGACCAGGCCCCACAGATGCTTCGAGAGCGAATGAAACAAAAGCGGTCTCATAGCCAAACAAGTCTCATCAACATGGAAAACCACTGACTTGAAAACCCCGAACAAGTTGATCAGCCAAACAAGTCTCATCAGTGTTCCAAACAAGTCAGTGGAAAACCCCGGAAAAATACAATTTTGCAACCACTGACTTTGATCGAAGAACTGCGAAAGGAACAAACCTGGGTGATGTTGCGCCAAATAGGTGGGAATTAAATATATATATATATATAGTCTGAATAACGATGTCTCACTACCATTGAGGCTGACATTGTTGCACGACAATAAATTGCATTAGCCCAAGCACATCGTGACATGTTTCAAGCGTAGCCCAAGCACCAGCTTGAACAATTTCATGTGTACGTGTTGGAACACTTGATCATGGTTGTAGGAATCTTTCCTTGTGATCTAACCCTTTCCAAATCCGGAGGTTGATCTGGAATCTTGGAATCTTCAGAACATCACTCAGGTGCTTTAGCTTTCGCGTCGTGTCAGTGGTGCCACACCTGACCACATTCATCTTCCCCATCCCACCCGGTGAACTGTTTGACAGTGAACCAAGATGCCAAGCACGTCTGCAACGATGTCGTCATTGGTCGCTGCGTCTGGCAACTTCAGCAAACGATTCGAGAGTGCCTCCAAGGTGAAAAAGAATTCCGGAACAAATAGTCTCTCTTGCCACAAAAAGAAACCGGGAAGGGGCCAGCCAAAGAAAAGTTCTGCCCTCAAATGCCGGAACAATTGTTGAGCCTTTATGATGGCTCCATTGGGCTCCATGCGCTCAGATGTTATGCATCAGCAGCTCAGACAAGGCTCAGACAAGGCTGGCCGGTGGCTTCGTATCAAATCACCCAGGCCCAAAAGGTAAAACGCAACAGCCGCAACAATGGGTTCACTTGTGCTGAAGAACGATGCCTGAGCCGAGAACATGTCTCAGAAGTTCAAAACAGCCACGGCGAACGTATTCGGAGCAAAACTGCTGCGGCCGTTTACGAAGACTTTGAGGTACTTTGAGGAAACATGTAATGATGGGCCTGCAGACTCGCAGCAATGCACTCCATCTACCAAAGCATCTGAACAACTAGCACATATATATATATATAGTGTATATATATATATTTGCATAATATATGATTGTGCAACTATATGCACATATGACTTCCAAACCTCCATTGTTTCCTTCCCACAAGCCAACTTGTCAAGTTATGAGCTGCTCTACGCATGTTTATCAAAAGAGCAGAACCTACGCAGCGTGATCGCTAGCTCCTCGGTGCGTGGGCGCTTGGTCGGAGGCTCCAGTACGTCCTGGTGAGAACGAGAGGCGGAGTACTGGTCCGTCCATTCATACCAGAACGAGATCGTGGAGACCGTGGAGAAGAGGAAAAAGAGGAAGGGACCAAAGGGAATGTTGCGGAAGAACATAGATGAACATAGAACTTTGGGATACTTTACAGGAAGTTGGGAAGGGAATGTTGCAGAAAATATCGGAACATACTTCATTGTGCGGCGTGTTTGACCTTTCCCCGTCTCTTCTCTTCCTTGACAACGCTGTAAAAAAGCTGCTCCTAAAACCGAAAATGATTAGCCACAAAAATACACCATGTATTGCGGAATGGAAGAGGCCTTCCAACTAAGAGAAGGAGAGGACGCCTCTGATGTTCAGAGACTTGTGCCATGGCAGGAGGGCTATTGGGAGGTTTCTTGGTCAGTTCGCGCAAGAACTGCAAAGCTGCAGTCCTCGACAACCTTCACCTAAGTAGTGCGAATGGATCAAAACATGATCAAAATCTATCATCCCGCTTCCATCACTGCTCAGGCAGGTGCTGGCTCCACGTCTGCCATCACAGCCTGCCATCACAGTCTGCATCGCCAAACGAATCCGGCAGGATGCCGACAACACCAAGGGTATTTTTCCAGCACCACGACTATGCCTGCCTTTTCTGCGCACGATCGAAATGGAACACGACTATGGCATGGCCATGGCGCCTCTGCGTCTGTTGCAGGTGTCTTCAAGGCCTTGCGGGCGGACATAGATCCCAAACAGGACCAAAATACTCATACATACATACATACATACATATATATATATATGGTACCCCCCCCAAATGTCCATATTTTTTAACATTTTACTGGTATTTGCAGGGATTGTGGGGGTACCATATATATATATATAATCCTAAAATCCTAAGATTTCAGCACTAGTCGGAAATGGCGGACGTAAACTTTCCAGTACTTAGAGAAAATTTTAAAGTATTTTAAACTTTTCTCAGAAGTAAGAAGCAAGAAGTAAGATTCTCTAGGAGAGTTCTGTGCAATCTTACTTCTTACTTCTTACTTCTGGGAAAATTTTAAAATATTTTAAAAATTTCTGGAATTCTCTAAGTATTGAAGTCTTCACCGTTTCTGGAGCAGCCGGTTAATCTCAAAGGCATTTTTGCATCCAAAAACCGGCTTCATGGCATTCCATGTGTCTGGGGAAGTCACGGTCTCCAATGACAAGGCGAACCTGGTCCTTAATTTGAAGGACCCAGTGACATACCTGCTCGACATGAAAGCCTTGTGGGATCGCATTAGCACCGGAGAAATTGGTGTGCATCCCACTCGGCAACCGTTGGACAGAACCACTTTGGGAACTTTGATTCACAATATTCAGCGGTCTGCCGACTTGAAGCCTATTGGCCTCAAGGGAGCATGGAACCCAAAAGCTGAAGACACCCTCATCCGCATCTTGGCGTCTCCGAAACGCTGCCGTGGAGGGGGACAAGCATCAGCACTTGCATTGCCTCCTGTTCATCCACAAACACCTCAACAAGCACCTCAACTCATCTAAAAAGTGTTTTTGTCGTCTTTGCATAGTTTCCACTCAACCTCCCATGGGTAGACCGCATCGCATGCCTAAGGCCATCTGCAATCAACATCATTCTGGCTCATTCTGTATTCCTGACCACTGTAAATACTAGTGCAAGCCGAAAAAATGTGGACTTTTGGGGGGGGGGGTAGCATATATATATATATATATATACGCCGACCCCAGGCTAAGCCGGGAGGCGCTCGGGGCACCGCAGGGTGGAACGCTCTCCTTTGTCCATCCACTCTGGAAAGGTTCTTGCGGGGACTTGACCTTATAATCAGGCACCAGGGTGATGGCCCATTCTAGTCCATTTTATAGATAGAAGGTGCCTGTAGAAGGTGCTTCATCAAAGGGGCCCTCTTTCTTTGAGTTCAAGCAGGGTGCCGTACCCCC